CTCTGGGTAAGACAAGGTCTGAGTGAGCACATCATGAAAATAGCTCACAAGAGAGTTACTCAGTCACAAACAGGATATGAGAATAATAAAAACCCTAATGTAAAGAGTAAAGCATATCTCATTTCTTATCTACGTGGAGTTCAATAACATTACTTACCTGTGTTGTGTCTCTCAGGAGTCTGTCGTGTCCTGTATCCCTGGGTATGTGACTGCACCTTGGGTTTATATGATGAGTAAGTGATAATCACAAACCAATGAGGGGACAGGCAACTTACTTCCACCTAACGCTCTTCCTTCTTTTCTTAGATAAAACACGCATGCCAGGCAGTTTAAGCCTGCAAAGACTGCTGGTTATACAGGACATCTGGGTATAACTAACCCAACACATTTGCATACAAGGTAAAGTCAAAAGTTATAGCTGTACATGTATGCCCACTGTTACATGTTCACTTATTTTTAGTCTTACACCATAGGCTCCTGGAGAATAAGAAAACCTGAATGCAATGAAGTTATCTTTGCAGATGTGCACATGACTTGCTTCCCTGTTTTAGAAACAGTCTCTCCTGTACCTGCTGTATGTTCCTTCAAGGCAGTGTCTAACAATGTCTTGTATTTCATTTGTTTGCTTTTGGTTTCTCCCAGTGGAATGTAAGCTCTGTAAAGGCAGGGACTTCACTGTCTTTTTCACTATTGTCTCCTCAGTTCTAAGAGGAGTGCCAGGCACATCATGATCACTAATATACATATGATGATAGGCTGACCCTAATTTATAGTTCACATTTTTGCAAGGGCTGTAAATTTGCATTACTGCTGGTTTATTTCATTTACTCTCATTTCTCAGAAAAACCGAAGTGTTTAAAGTAAACCTGGTGTAGAAGTTTCCAATTCATCTTGTTTGTGATCCTTTTACAATTTAGTAACAAATGCCTGACATTTTAGAAATTTATTTTTTCGCTTCTTAGTGCAGGAATTATTTTCATGTATAATATTAGGATAGCTCAGTGAAAAGAGCCAACAAAATGCCTACCCGGGCCTTACTGAGCCTGAGGATTGTCCATGAAACATTTCAATGACTGACTGGCTTTCAACTTCCGGAAAATTCTCCCACAGGCAACAACAGCAACCTATCAATCATGTAATATTTATTATTTCTAAAGTGCTTTTAATTTTGCAAAATATGTTTACATCCTCTTAGTATAAACATCAGAAATGAAAGTAAATATAAATACTAGTCTGTAAAAAGAGAAGACACAGTGTAGCCCTTTACCCACCAAAAAACAATACATCTGTGTCAAAATCAAGTGCAAATGGGATGGGAGTGGGAGTTATACAAAATTACACAATGCATTTATTATCTTTGACAACTTTTACATTTTTTAAAAAAATCATTTTATCTTCACCTCAATGATTTTTAATGCCTATTTTTATAAATGAGGAAACTGAGACATAGGGAAATTAGGTAAATTGCCTGCAAATTTTTGATGGGACAAGCTAGGATTAAAACCTAGGCCTTCTGATGACACATTTAATATTTTTCCTTACATAATGCCGCCTATATAAAATACAAAGCTGCTTCAGTTAAAAAAAGTATACAAAAAATAGCACTTTTCTCATTTTGTATTACAATTTTCTCTTTTACAACCAGTTGTTTTGGCTGGAGGAAAGCAGAGCAACACATCATGGGTTGGGGAAGGAGCAGCCACTTGATCCTTGGTCACCAATCAACAGAGGCTGCTCTACAGGCATCCATTGTCCTTGTGTGCATGGTCTCCACTCCAGGAGCTCTCTGCAGCCCCTGTAGCATTCTCATTTTGCTACCTTCTTGCCCCAGTGTGGCAGTTTAACCACAACGCTGCCTGAGATTCCACCTGCCAAGTACCCAACAGAGCCACTTCTTCTCTGTGGTCTTGCCACCTCCCTGGAGGCACAAGAGGGTCCCAGGGCTCCTCTATTCTTGGGAAGCACAGCTTTCTCATCCTCTCGTGTCTTCTCCCAGCCCAGGTGGGGATGCCCTAACTCTCCTAGTCTTCTACCAGCTGTGGGACTTTGGGCAGGTAACTTAATCTCTCTGTGCCTAAGCTCCTTCACCTTTAGATGGAGATTCATTCTACAATAAATATTTATTTGTTCCTAATCTTTGCCAGGTATTGTTCTGAATGCTAGATATATAGCAGTAAATGAGGCTGGGCATGGTGGCTCACTCCTGTAATCCCAGCACTTTGGGAGGCCGAGGCGGGTGGATCACGAGGTCAGTAGATGGAGAACATCCTGGCCAACATGGTGAAACCCCGTCTCTACTAAAAATACAAAAATTAGCTGGGTATGGTGGCACATGCCTGGAATCCCAGCTATGTGGGAGGCTGAGGCAGGAGAATCGCTTGAACCCAGGAGGTGGATGTTGCAGTGAGCCGAGATCGTGCCACTACATTCCAGCCTGGCGACAGAGCGAGACTCTGTCTCAAAAATAAATAAATAAATAAATAAATAAATAAATAAATAAATAAATGAATAGAGATACAGCAGTAAATAAAATCAGACAAAAACAAATCTTTATGGAGCATTCTGACATTAGTAATAACTCCCTCATAGGCTTTTAGAGAATTAAATGAGTACACAGATACGTGCTTCAAAGTGTGTCTAATCATAGTTAGGGATCCATGAGTGAGATCAATTGTTAATGTTATTTGCAGTTCACCTGAGGGGAAAATCATTTCCCTTCAACAATCTATGCTCAGGAATTCTTTCCTTTTCTGTGGTTAGGTTTTGGACACTAACAGCAGGAAGGGAAGTAGCTGTCAGGCAACTTTTATTTTTCACCCTGCTTCATCTTCTCCTGAGATGAGCACGGAGCCAAGTGTCTACTGGAATAGGGAGGAGGAAAAGGGCAAGGGCAAAGTGAAAACCCCTCACAGATTGTTACCTCTCAGTTCCCTGCTCTCCAGGGCAGTGACTTCTTCATGCCACACACCCTTCAGGATCATGTTGTGCATCCAGACTGGACTGCGTGAGAAATACCCGTGAATAAATGTGTCAAGTTGTATGATCATGTCCACACAGTTATTGGAAGGCCTATTATAATTTAATGACTATGTCTTCATTTTCTCCGGGGCTTTCTAGTTGGAAAACTTTTAATCCTGTGGTATTGAATTAGCAAATTCCTAACTGCTGTTAGAAATCCAACATTAAATCATAGTCCATTTCTGTCCTTGTTTTCTTTATTTGCCCACCTGTGTAGTAATGTGACTATACAAGATAGTGATTAAAGAGTTTCATCCTGGAATCATGACCACTTAGAGGAATCTCAGTTCCATTACTTGCAAGCTCTAGGACTTTAGGCAGCTCCCTTAGTTTCCTTATCTGTAAAATGGTGATGATAAAAGTCATTCTACTCAGAGTTGAAAGGATTCAATGAGTTTGTGCATTTAAGTCACTTAGTGCCTTGCTTAGCAAGCAGTTGCTCGATAAGTAATGGAAAAATACATACCATTTTTTACAAGTGGACCACATATTTGTTCCTCTTTATTTATTTTGGTAAAAGAGAAGTGTTCAAACAAACCTATTTCTCCTTTTCTAGCTAGTCTGTTGATGGGGAAGGGAGGAAGTATCCAGGAGAAGCATACAAAACTTCCTTTGCTCAACATCTAGAGTGGTTTGGTGTACTTTTGTATATTTTATTTAATAAAACAGTTTTCCTTTTTATAGTTAGTTATTTGAAAAACTAAAAACATGTTAAACTGACTTATTTAAACCTGGGGCTGAAAAGACAGGAAATAAAGAATATGTTTTTCTGCTTCTAACCTCTTTGAGTAATTGAAACATGCCTGCAAATATTTTAGTGTCTGTGTTTTCCCAGATTTCAATAATGATAATGCTATTTTTCTTGTCTGCCTCTTCAGATACTGTGAAGAATGATATGGTAATTATATCCAAGATTATGAGCAAATCTTTCACTACCTAGCCTTTTGGCTAAAAGAGGATTCCCATATGTAGGCAAATAATAGTAATATAAATAGCTAAAATTCATTAAATATTTCCTGTGGGCCAGGCATTGAACCAAGCACTTGCCTACATTGCATTGAATGCCTACAAAACAACATCACGAATGGTGCGTGCACCCTTGAATGCACAACTGACTAGGCCTTGTCATGAAAGCATTTATAGATAGAAAATTTCTCAGACATTTGTATCTTGTTCACAAGAGTTTGTGTTTTTTCTGTCAAGAATGAAGAAAATAAGCATTAAGTTAATTTCTTTTTCAAGATTTTTCCAGAATCAATGAATGTCACCTCTGTATCATTACAACTTGTACTGTAGGAGGAAGGACTGTGCAGTAAGTCCCACCTCTGCCTGTGCCCTGTCCTGTGGCCCCCAAAAGAGTCATATCTCCTCTCTGAACCTCAGTTCTTGGAAAATAAAAGAGAGATCCTGGTGACCTCTGAGTCACTTCCTACTCTATTATTTCGTGACATAATTTTCCCCCTGAAGACATTTCTCTGTCTTACATGATAATTGAATGAAACTAAGTCCAAAAAGGCACAGAACTTATGGGCTGAGAGTTACAGGTGCGCAAGTTATCTTCGTCCCCAAGTCTAGCAAGAAAGGCAAGATTCTCAGATCAAAGGAAGGCCACCCATTCTGAGAATCCCAGGTCACAGGGTGGACTTACTATTTACAGGTACTAAGATAATGCAAACAAAAGTGTAATTTAGAGAGTTTTTTTGTTTTGTTTTGCTTTTTTTTTTTTTTTTGGCGAGATTAAAGTGTCTTCCTAGCAGTTATCAAGAAGAGGCAACCAAAATGTACCTATTAAAGGAATTCGTATATTTGGAATTTTCTTATATTTCAAAAACAGATTAATCTGAAGAGGTGTGTTTTCCTCATGAAGTCTAGAAAAAGGAAATTCTGGAGAATAAGAAGGTGTCAGAAAATTTCTAGGACTCCACAGAGGGCTAATAATAGCAAACACGGACATTTGCATGTATTGTGTACCTGGTACTCACTCAAGATTTTAGTGCCAAGGTCTCAAACCTAGCAAGCAGATGATCCAATATTTGAACCTAGTAGTCAGCCTTCAGAGTCTTCACGATTAATTACTGCATGAGATTGCCTCCAAAATATAGATTACTAGAGTGAAAGAAAAGAAACAGGTTACAATCATTTGCTGACATTTTCTTGGGATTATCCAACTTTTTTTGGCCTAACTGCACATATCAAGCAAATTTAAGATCTGAATTCTTTCTCCTAAGCAGGCTTTTGTTCACCATTTTATTCTGAAAGTTAGTTTTGCATCATTCTGAGCAAACTATCGCAAAGACAGAAAACCAAACACAGCATGTTCTCCCTCATAGGTGGGAATTGAACAATGAGAACACTTGGACACAGGAAGGGAAACATCACACACCGGGGCCTGTCTTGGGGTGGAGTGAGGGGGGAGGGATAGCATTAGGAGAAATACCTAATGTAAATGACGAGTTAATGGGTGCAGCACACCAACATGGCACATGTGTACGTATGTAACCTGCACGTTGTGCACATGTACCCTAGAACTTCAAGTATTAAAAAAAAAAAAATTGGCTTTGCATGCCTTCGTATCAAACACAGAATTTCTGGAAGAATACTTTCAGATTGGCCTGTGATACAAAGAAAGAAAGCTACTTACAAGAAAGAAAATCAAGAAATCTTGGTTTCTGATGACACAGCTCACATTTGCCGCACTGTTCCTAGGGAAAGGAGAATTCTATAGTGAAAGGAGAATTTTAAGAGATGACTGCAGTAATTAAATGTAGCTTCAATCCTTACAACACAAACTTACACAAGAATATAAAAAAACATATAGCTATGTAAGGAAAGGAAAAACTGTTTTCATTGGAACCAACGTAACAAGAAATTTTGTTCAGAAAACAATGAACAAAATTATGCTAAAAATATTTTTCTGGCCTCCAAGATACAATTTTACTATGTATACTTTGGCTCTTCATAAAGTGAGCCATTGAGAGAGAAAATAACAGCTGTTTCTAAAACTCTAGGATCCAATCCATGAAAGGCTAGAAATGGTCTATTTTCTAGCAGTATGTACATTTTGTTGGTGTTTACAGTTAAATAACTCATGGGAAGCTACAGGCCTCAATTACAACATATCATCAAAATTTGGAGACAAGATCCAGAATTGCCACTAGGTCTATGATTTGGAAGAACTTATATAAATGGTAAAATTTGTCCCCTGTGGACATCAACTGAAAGATGATGTGTAAATGTGATTCTGAAAACTTGAATGTTTCCTAAATTTTAGCACAGACTCTATGACTCATGTAACAAATTCAGACACATGGTTTTGAGATAGCAGCATCTTTTGTTTAATGACTTTAGATGGATTTGACCATTTGGCTATTCCCTTTCTGGCTGCAGACATTTTATTAGGCCCAATTTGAAAAGGCAGTCTTTCTTTTCTGTAAACAGATAGAAATTCATATGAAACTGTATGTCACATTGACTTCGTGCTAAAGTGCTACTGTGTTTCTGTAAATGTTTGAAATAAAATATTTGACTTTTATATTATTTCTTTGGATGTAGTGGTAATCTCACATCAAGTTTAAAATTTCTATTTGTTTCTGTTTTATAACAGCAGATTACAAATACGTATGTTCTGAACTACACCAAAGTCTCTTTAGTTACACAGCTTAAGCAAGATGATATTCTGATACAAATTAGCTACCAAAGTGAAGTGACTGTTCGTGACTCATTTTTCCAGTCTTAGCAAATGGAAAGTATTACATTCTTTTCAAAACATCAAAGTCAAAGGCATCTTTTAACACCCCACAAATGTCAAAAAGTAAAGTTTGAGCTTAAGCTGATTGCGTATTTAGTTTTAGTTCTCATTCATTGGATCATATTTACAAAGCCCTGTTTATAAACTCAAGAAATAAAATTACACAGCAATTTTCCTGGAAAATATGCTTTTTAAAAATAAATATTTAAAAATGTTCTGCTGTTATCTTAAGAGCTATATAGTGGAAGTACACAAATGTATGTATCGATCTCTGGAAACAAGTCACAATTCTTATATATTTTACTTGAAGTTTTAAAGATTTTTTTCTCTTTTGTATTATTCCTATCAAGTTTAAGATTTTTTTCTCTTTTGTATTATTCATATCAAGTTTAAATTCTATTATTTAAATTTCCAAATTTGCTCTTTTCAAAGCATCTGATTAAGCATGACATATTGGCAATACATCTTAATCTCATTTCCTTCCCCAAGACCCATGAAAGATCAGTAAAATTATACAAAAGGTATGGTAAACAAGGACAAAAAGAAAGGGCAAAAAAAGCATGTAAGAAACATTAAAAAAAAAAAAAAAAAAAAAGCCTGGGTGCAGTGGCTTACACCCGTAATCCCAGCACTTTGGGAGGCCAAGGCGGGCAGATCACCTAAGGTCAGGAGTTCAAGAACAGCCTGGCCAACATGGTGAAATTCCGTCTCTACAAAAAATACAAAAACTAGCCAGGCATGGTGGCAAGTACCTGCAATCCCAGCTACCCAGGAGGCTGAGACTGGAGAATCGCTTGAATCCGGGAGGCAGAGATTTCAGTGAGCTAAGATCACACCATTGCACTCCGGCCTGGCCGACAGAACTAGACTCTGTCTCAAAAAACAAAACAAAACAAACAAACAAACAAACAAAACCCTTTATCTGACAGGAAGCAAGTAGAGGAGTGGCAGTTGAATGGACTGCATAGTCAAAGTTATGAGCTAAGTTTAGGGCAGACACACTGAAGGGAACAATACTATCCCAGGCACCTTTGAAGGATCCATGAAATACCTGGGCCCCAAAATCCACATACGTGAATTTGATATTTGAGGTCAAAAATGAAAAGATTAGTTAAAAGTCAGCAAAGAAAGCACTAGAACTGTTTGGGTGAGGGGGAAGGGACAAGATGGAGGAAGGTGAACAAGATGGAGCAGTCCCTGTTGTTTCCCGTTTCTTCATCACAGATTTTCCCGCGCCCGGGGGACGAACCGAATCAACTGAGCATGCGCAGAGTGACGTCAAGCCCGGGACTCCGAAATTCAAGAAGCCACTCCTACACACACGCCCCAAACACCTACCCCTCCAGCTCCCAGGCATAAAAGTCCGCTGCCGGTAGGCGCCGGTGTGACTTCTTCGGCCCCCGCATTTGTGGACTGGAGAACATCACTGGAGAGCAGCGGCGCGACTTCCCTGGCGCCCCACACCTGAGGACCAGAGAACCTCGCAGGAGAGTGTGTGCATATTTGCAGTAAAAGACTGCCACTTTCTTAGGTACTTTGGCCTCAAGTTTAATTACTTAGCTCTCCTAAATTAAGTTACATTAAATTAAATCAAAACAAGAACCTGGTTTCCCTACCTCTTCTCACCCGCTGCTGCCCACCAACCAATCCCTTGGTCTTAAAAAGAAAAGGAATAAAAGAATCTTCGGGAAGCAGAGAAAAGACAGGCTCTAAGATAAAAATTAAAGTATCAGTCATTCATGCCATTTGAAAAACAGTGACTGCTGGCGTCAGACCAAATTCCCATCAGACTCCACTCCAAAGCTCACTATAGAATGCATTCGCCTCTGGCTCGGATAATGGACCATGGAAGGTAAGAGAGGACTTCCAAGGTTTCTGTCAACTCGGATTTTTATAGACGTCTCTGCCTGCTGTTTCCAGTTCATTTTTGCTTGGAAAAAACTTTGCCAAAAAAAAAGACTTATAAATTCTTCACAATCACAATTGCAATAGGAATTGCAATTATTTTCATACTGAGAAAGTAAATAGAAAGCATTGTATGGATGAATAGTCTAATTTTTGAAGATTTTCTTATTTGAGAACATTGCAGTGAATTCATATATTTGGTGTGCTTATTTCAGTCATGATTGCTGCGGGGCTATTTGAGGCACACAGCAAATCTGTAATGCAGATATTATTAGACCCAGTTTTACAGATGAAGAAATTAAAGCTTAGAGTGATTAACTTACAGAGAGTCATACAACTGTAAGTAGCGGCATTAGTGATCAAACTCAGTTCGGTTCATTACAACTATCCCAAAATTCTTCACAAAGTTTTGGTTCGTAACAATTCTGCACCAAGGGGAGATTCTCTAGGGTAAAGAAATAAGTGTCAAGGAAACTTCCCTACAAGCTTAGAACTTCCAGTTATTTGAGTGTTTATTAGATTGATGAACTTGAAATTTAAAGGCTGGGAAAAATACTTTCAAATATTACTTTTTTTTCTAAAACTGCAAGTACACAAAATCAAATTTAGAAATACAAATGAAACTGAACAACGTGGGTCAAACTTATCAAGTGTTTCTTATCTTGTTTCCATTAGTCATTTTCTCTGACACTTATTCTCTCTGCCTAATGTGGTCTGGATTCATCTGCCTGATAAAAGTTTTGCCCTGGTTAATATTTGGTCCAAGACGAATTAATATTATTTCTATTCATATAAATATTAGCTGAATATTTGTTGAATTCTGTGTCACCCTTTGTCAGGTAGCCCAAAGAGCACTTTGCGTATTCACATTTTGATTTTAAGTTCCCATTTTCTTTATATGTAACAGTCAGGCAGAATCACCCTTCGGGACAGTTGGCTGAGGTGGGGGGTGGGGAATTGGGTAGAATGGGTAGAAGGATCAATTTGTGGGAAGATCTGGAAGAAAAAAACCTTACAGCAAGTCTTTTGCCCATTTGCCATGTCCAGCATTTTTAAGCAAGTTAAATAAAATGAAAAGTGTATCAAGAACAGCATTAAAGAGGAGAAAAGGTATGAACAGCAAAATCCTTTGCGAGGATACTGTACAAATGGGGGAGGGATAGTGCCATCTGATCATCTCTTTATACCTAAACTGGGGAGGGGTGAGCTCTTGAACCTGTTCCATCCTCAATAGTCTGTAACACCAATGCCAGCCGCCCCACCAAGTGCCTGCCCAACTGGGAAGATCTTCACAATTCAGAGCCTGGGCTGACCATCCCAGTTCATTCTTTATTAGAAAATGCCTGAAAACCCTCTGCATCAACGCTGCATGTGTTTTCTTCCAGTGCAGTTTCATAAGATCTGCTAAAGAAACTCCCGACAAAGTGTGCTAGGTCCAAAGGTTTACGATCTATGTACAAAATGCTGTAAAATTCAACCTTTTTAAAGGTCTGCAATGAAAACCAGAGAACATGTTAAAATGAATCGCCTGATAACCTTCCTCTTTTCATTTTTTTCCAGCTTTATCTTTCTATTTCTATCTCACATTCTCCTTCCTGTAGA